CCGAAGTCAGGTTTCGCCGCCACTCTTCCTTGGAGGAGCGGCGGCACAGACGCCCTTTCAGAGGCAGCCTGATGGACGATGGCGATGACAGGAGGAAGTCTATCGGCAGGACCTGCGCCTCCCATACAAGGCGTTGCTTCAGCCGAAGCCTCAGTCAAAACCATAGCACGTTAGCGCTAGTCTTAGACAACCAAGCCAGAAAGCCACTTGTGGTTCATCCAAGCAAGTTCCCAAGTGACAGCTGGGATAGGCGGAGCGCGACTCTTCGGGGATGAGTGAATGTATTAAGAATGTGAGTGGTTAGTTTTATAGCTAATAAGGTGTAGTCTAGAAATTACTGTGGTCTAGCATGACATAGTAATATACTATTAAATTGACACAGGCGGCTGAGGAAGCTTCTAGAAGCTTCCATCCGCCTGAACTGTGGGGGCGGCACCTTCCCTTTTTGCGCGCCCTCCCTCAAAGCAGCTTTCTTTTGAAATAGATAATGCGTATAGTAAGAGTACTGAGACTTTCTAGTAGAAAGTTATTCGTTTCAAAAGATTTGCAGTCGCTTGTCAACCTTGAAGTCTCTACAACAGGTTGTGGCATTAAAGTCATCGACTCCGTCACGAGTAGATTCGAGCTATGGCGTAGTCGTGCTCAAGCCTACCTTGACGCTGAGATCAACGATAATACACACGCTGCATACATTGGAATCGGCTGTGCTGCTTCCAATCTCGTTTTCTTCGGCAGCCATCCTCTCAATTATTTTAACAAATATTTTTCCTCAGCGTGTAGTCTATCGAACGAGCAACGCAACTTCAAATGATGGGCTTTCAAGTAAAAGTAAAGTTCGTGGTCGACTTTGTGTCCACTGCATTGAAGACGACGACAGGCATTGACCTTTATAAGCGCTACAGCGTTTCTCATGATCATCCTTTCTTAACATCTGATCTCACCCGGCGTTTACGCCATTCAAGCTTACCTACTCTGGTACAAAGTACGTACTATCGGACCGAACAAGTTTATAATACTGAGCACGAAACCTGAAAATGGTAGCAAAATAATTTCAGTCTGTTACAGCTTTACACCAGCACCATTTTTAGCGACTGGTTGTGGCTTAGTGGTGACGGACTATCACGAGCTTGATCAAGCTCCAGGCTTTCCTTGTGGTGTCGCGCTATTCAAGATCTTCTTCAGCAAGGAACAAGGGCTCAAGCTATGCGAGTGCAGCGTATGCTGATCCGGAATGTTAAGGTAGCAAAGCATGTGCATGGGCTGCTAATGCCTGTAATTCAGCTGAGAATATATCCGCGTCCAAGGCTTCTCGGGACCAGTCTAGATACGAGCCCATTGTTGCAAATGTTGTGTGGTGCGTTCTTTTTACGCAATAACTATCGTACCAGCTCACGTTCCAGCGATGTTAGCCCCTTCATCAGTCAGCCTAGACGCATCACATACTGTGTCATGGAACTCGTGTGGGTGTCTGAAGTTTTGCTCTTGGCTTCTGTACTGCTAATGTTCAGTTTGGGTGACATTATTTTGGCTCTCTCAAACCGAAAAAAAAGATTTTAAAGCTCAAGTACTGCATAATTATCTGTAACCACATTATGAACACCTCTGTAATTCTTACAGCACGAAAAATTTACTTGCAGATAACACACAAGGATAAGGGGCGTCTGGATCAACGAAGACAGAAGCGGAAGACTCCAGTCATCGCAGTAGGGCTTCTCTTGAGCTCTAGGGTTTTGCCCATACCGTCGGATATTGAGCCATGTATATATCTCCAAGTTTCTGGCGAGGATTTATCAGCAGCGCCATCTCGTGTTTACCCGTGTTTCTAGCTGGAGGCTACGTGCATCGTTTAGGTCAGATGAGAATAGCCGAACAGGGTTCCGTTGTTGTGGCGTGATTTATGACATTCAGCACATTGGCAAAGTTGGTCCTGCAAGAAGCTGCTAAGCATTTCATCGTCAAGAAACGAATCCGAAGTATTCAAGTCAAGTACATCATACTGGCAGTCCCCACTGTACTGATTGATACAGTACCCAATCAAAAATTGTCTTATTAGGGGTACAGGACTCGTATTTAGCTGCAGCTGAGATCTTTGGCTGGGCTATTCTAGATAATATCTAGAATAGCCCAGCCAACACAAATATTATTAGTGTGCGTGTGGGGAGGCATTCGCAGTCACCTATAGAATCCGTCGTCAACAAGGTTACGTACAGGAGACTCCAAACCACAAGTCCAAATGCCAAACCCAGAACGCCACTCACGTCCCTCTGTTCGACAATCTGTTGCGACAAGGGATCGCAGAGGAGGGATCAAAGGCCGTGGACACGCTCACAGGGGCAGCAAAAGCCACCTCTCGGACAGAAGGTATATTCTCGACTGAGCCAGAATTCTCTACGAGCGTCTTTTGTCATACGCCTTGAACATATCCCAGTTAGTGTGCACCACACACTTCACAGCCGAGCTCGACCTACTAATACATGCTCAGACACTCTCACCTCGAGGTTTGCGCTGTAGCGGTATGACTAATCCTCAGCGCTGCTCTCCAGAACTGGGATCGGCTCCACATTCAGTCGCTCATGCAGTTTCGCAAATTGCATTGATTCCAGCGGCTTTGTAAAAATGACCGCGAGCATATCCGTTGAATCACAGTACTTGACGTCAAAGTTTCCGCGCTCGTTTAAGTCCCTCACTTTGTGATACTTCAAGTCCATACTTTTGATCTTGTAATTGCATTTCGTTGCCTTGATCACCTTGATCGTAGACTGGTTATCTTGATACAGTACAGTCGGGCAACGACAGCAGAGATTCAACTCTTCGCAAAGATTGTGAGTCCAAACAGTTATGACCGAACACTCAGCAGCAGCAATGAATTCCGCACTGCAAGTATCGTCCTGGGTATTTGACTGCTTGTGGCTTCTGTAGACGTACGTGCACCCATTCATCTGAAGCACAGAGCCAGTGATCGATCTCCGATCATTCTTTTTACTACCGAGATCTGTATCAGCATTAGCAATGAAATGCAAATCCGGACTAGCAGGCTTTCTCCACAAAAGTCCATAGTCACGAGTGCCTTTAAAATAGCGTAGCACTCTCTTTGCCATCACAAAATACGCACGAGTGTGTTTGCTCATGTTCTTTCCGAAGACAAGTCAGCTGTACAAACTCCTGCTGCAAGTTGTGGTCGAGATCGTGGTGGACTACACGTCGTTCTGGAAATCACAACAGGCATCGAGTTCGACTGGATCAACGGCCTCGGGTCGTACCTAGCTGAGCGCTTTGGAGCGACTGTGGTGATCAGCAATATCATCTCCCCGATGATGTTCTTGGACTGAAACCTCCCGTTAAAATACACCAAGAAGAGACGTCCTCTGACACTCTGGAGCCTAGCCGATCAGAACCTGTTCTTCCCTGGTGTCACCGCCGGGGAACCGTCGGCAAAAAGGGATCGCACTACACGTCATTGCAACTGTTGAAATGATTGCTGTTTTGATTTATCTCAGGTCTGCACACCCTTGAAGCTGCATAAGTGTCCGGCGTGATAGGGCATAAGTGTCAAGCTAGACGACACGTCTTTGAGCAGTGATCGAAGCCTCCACATCGTAGATCCCTGGTTGGAGCGATAAGGAACCCATGTTCTGCCATAAAAACAAATCGGACTTCGGGCTTCAAATATTCAGGGCTCCACGTGTAATCGTATCGACGCCTGATCATTAACACTGAAATGGTCGTACACATAATATCGAATGTTGGCTTCCACGTAGCACGCGAGAACTGCGAACCTCCGCTTGCCGACGTTTTGAGATTTAAAACGACATTGTATTTAGGTGTGGAGCAACGTGAACGAGCTATTTTTAGCTTGTAGGAGCGGCTTAAAGTTCGAGCTCATTTTGCAGATGTGCCAGTTTAGGTCCAAATTTGACTTGATTTATTAAGGACGACGACGTTTTATGTACGATCTCACACGTACATTGGCGGGTCTGCAGATTCCGATTTCAGTTGTCGTCGCCATCGATTCGGGGTGTTGTGCCAACTTGGCACACATTAAGAAGCATGTATTGTTGCGCCTCCGCTGCCAGGGTGTGGCGTGGCGGGTTAAGCGCGATTAGGAAATTCTGAAACTAACTACGGCCGCTCGCTCCTGTGCTCTGCTGCGTTGGTTTCATCTTTTGCTACCTCAACTCAAAAGCTATTTTCACCCGTTGCTTGAAAATTCCCATTTCAGTTGTCGTCGCCATCGATTCGGGGGGTTGTGCCAACTTGGCACACATTAAGTAGCATGTATTGTTGCGCCTCCGCTGCCAGGGTGTGGCGTGGAGGATGCCCCAAAGTTCGCTACAAAGGCAGGCTTCTTCATCATGTCTTTTGCCATTCGCGATGTTAGCCGTCCCCCAATACGGGTATAACGCTCCACAGCGTCAGACTTCCACCTTCCAAATAACTTGACCGCCAAACTATCAAATCCAGCATTAAAGAGTGCGGTTGCACCTCCACTGCGCAGTGAGTGAGACCCAAACCTTTCTGGATTGTAACCCGCCTGGCTTGCAGCGCATTTGAGCGCCTTTACGACATCTTTGACCTGCAGATTTGTAGCCACATTGATCTTGCACAATAGCGTATTTTCCGCAACACCGAGTGACTTGTGATGTCGAACAAGATTCCATGCTGCTAAAACTGGACAGCACCATTGATACCCTGAACGCTCCAGTCTACGACTGCTTCCATCGCCAAACTGGTCGGACTTACTTCCGCGGAATGTAATCACTACTGCCACTACCTCGTGTAGTTTATCAGTCGGTCTCTCGTCGGAATCCACAAATGAAATATCTGACCGCTGTATTGCATACGGCAACACTTTTGCTCCTTGGGCTAAATACTCCGATCTTCTGAGAAGAAAGAAGAAACCCAGCACCGAAGCCCCCCAAATGACTCGGTGCTGGGCGGACTTGAAATCGAGGAACCCGTGGAGTTTCTTGAGGATATCGGTTGTAACAGGAGATTTTGGGTTACGAGGTTTGTCCTTCCTCCGCATGCCAGTGATTGCAAGTTGGTGTCCTGGTAAGGATGCGACGCTGAAACCGAGCATCCGTCGATGATGCCACGAGAGATATGGCGAATTTTCGAGAGTACGGTGCCAGCAGAATTCCCTGATCCTGTGTGTCCCCATCCATAGTTCCAGCAGTGAATAGCGAATAAAGCGAGTTGGTAGGAATGTTTTCGTGGGCTTTCGGGTAGCCATCTCGGGAAGTTAAGCAACTTGCACCATTTACACCATTGTCGCCATGTACTGCTGTACTGCGATGCCGACGACGCGGCCAATGAGCAGGATTGAAGCTGTTCGAGAAGTTCATGTAGAGTCTTCTGCATTGCAGCGGCACTGTGCTCTGTGTCCAGCCAGAAGAAAAGTTAGTCCATCTGGTTAAATGAGGTTCGGTCCAAGCTCGTGAAGCTGCATCCGCCATCCAATTCGTCGATCCTGGGATATGGTCGGCGGATACACGTAAATTAAAGTACACTTCGGCCAGACCAATGCACCTATTAAGTTCTTGGCTGAATGAGTTCCGAGAATGCAGCTTGTTGCACCACGCAACAGCGGAAGTATTGTCACTCCAACATTTTATAAGTAGAAGCTTCCCTTTGGCTAATCGACACCATTTCGCACCCCAAGTCCATAACGCAAGAGCAATACACAAATGCTCACGGACATTGATAGAAAATCCAGATTTGTGTAGCTCGTCAATCATCAATAGTTCTTTGTCATCAAATTGTATCTGAATAAATGCATTAGCCGCAGGATCAAGCACGGCCAATCCGACGTTAGACGCATCCATATACAACTCAACGTGAGGCGCAATCGTCTCCATACTTCCGAATATCGTCAACGGTAGCTCTGCTAGGCAGCCATGCATAAGGATTTGGTCGAACCACCGCAAATCGGTTGTTGTGCCACCGGACAGACGTGTTTTGCCAAATCGTGGCACTGCGTTGCATTGAGATTGAATCCGTTGATAAAATGGTTTAGCAGCTCGCAAGCATGTAGCTACGTGTCGAAGAGACCCGAGGACCTGGTAAAATTCTGTTTTCGTAGCGGTGCCTCGCTGAAGTATCGCTTGTACGCGTCGGTGTGCTTTAGATATTTTGTCGCTAGGGATTGATACCGTACGCCGCACGGTGTTCCACAATAACCCGAGCGCCACTATCTCAGAGCGCCAGGCTGAGAATTTTGCCTCATTGATTGAGCGAGGTCCAAGAGCGGCTAGCATAGCGTGACGAAGTGTTGCTTCTGCTAACTGTAACCTATCACCTGCGTCGGGTTCCACTAAAATATGATCGTCAATACACTCGTAAGGGAAAAATGGTTCATTGTCCTTGGAATCTGACACTGACGCAGGTGAATTTGAGCCCATGAGCCATGATATTGCCCGGCCAAATAACGCGTAGCATGGCGGCGACCCCGACCACCCAAACGGAGCTGCCAGATCGATAATAATAATTTCTAGCTCCTTGATAAAGGCTGCCATACGGAAAACCTGGTTAGCTCGGGTACGTAAATGCCGAAAAGCACCCTTCACATCGCCTTTAAGCATCATAATTCTCTCCGTGTAACCGCATGTAGCCAAGTATTCAATTCGCCTTGCAATAATCGCGACCGACTCATAGCGCACTTTTGGAATCGAATCCGCTACCAACGCGGAATTTACCGAGTCGTTCTTCGGAAATGATAAGTAATGAATAGTGCGAACTTCCTCGTTCGGATCTACACCCTTCTTTACCACAGCCCCCAAAGGACTGCAGATAATTTCAGGCCATCGGTCGAGGATATCGGCCTCCACAACCATATACTGACCAGAGTCTTGGCCTTCGCGAATTGACCTGGTCACCGCGCGCAAATAACGACGACACGAGCCGTGATTCTTAGGAGGTGGACGATTCTTCATCGGTCCTTGACGCCACTGTACATCGATGCCGACCTCTGCAATTTTAGTTAGTTCATCGAGATGTGGATAACCTCTGAGTACGCGACGTAGTCGTTCTGGGTCAATTGCTTTGCTCGGCCTTCTGTCATTGTTGCGTTCGCCACGGATAAATTGTGTTGCTTCTTCGACACTCATGTTGCGTGTCCGAACCAAATGGGACAGCGACTTACGCGCTACGTTGTCGATCTCGTACGGCGAAATCTCGAGCTGTTTTGCGCGGACAAATCCCACTCCACGATGTGTAATTGATATTCGGGCTTCATCGGCGAGTAATTCTTCCTCCAATGCGTGTTTGATTTTCTGTGCCGACATCAACGATAGACCATACTGTCTACCGTTAATATGTGGAGGCATTTGGTGCTGTATGCCACGGACTGATGACACTTCGTTGTAACAAGGTCTTGACCGGCAACCGCTTGTACCCTTTTTCGCCGTCTCTACCGGTGTTGCTTGTCCGGCCTTACAAAGCGATCTTTCGGGACAGGAAACCTTGCCAGTCGTGCTCTTTGCTCCAATAGTTGGATGTCTACAAGGCCTCTGGTGACTAGTACTTGTATCTCGCTTAAGTATCTCGTTCTGGGGTAAAGTGGATTCTCCATGACCCGCTACTTTGAGACAGCGTACTCTATCACCCTTGCTCTTTGCTGACACCATCGTTTTACCAATTTTGCATTGCTTGTTCTCTGATACTGCGTTGACGCTAGCAGTCCTCTTTGGGCGCAGACTTGATACTACCTTGTCCGATGCAGTCATGTGGGACACATCCACCGCAGTGAATCGGTCGTTACTCAACACACCATTCACTTGTGTAGCGTCCGAACTAAGGCGTGAGCATACCCATTTCTGCTGCTTCTCAGGTCGATTTCCGGCCGCTGCCACAAACTTGAGCTGCAAAGATGGCCGTACTGCCCCGCTGATCTTGGATAGTCATAATTGTCGGTGCTCCTCCTTCAAGCCACCAAATCGTCTAGTGATCTCTTCTTTCACGCAGGCCGGCAGCTTATGTGGAGCAAAATGACCATGATCACTGGGGCACGCGCCATTTGCGTCGGGTGCACAGCCTGCCTTTGAAAGGTAACGCATACACAGACTCTTAGACTTGCCCGAGCCTGGCTCGGTTTGGACTGGAAGTTGGCGCAGCACGTCCCTCGATATCCGACCGAGACGCCTTTTACCGTCCTGCCGAGGAGTAAACTGGTAAGTTGGTGCGCGCTTCGTCCCCCCTGTTCGAGCTTCATCCGTTAATCTCTCGTTCTTGATCTCGCTGACGTGTTGATGTACTTTCACGAACATCAGATCCCTCAGAAGCCTGTCATCCGTTGAGCAGCGTCTCATCACTTGCCTTAAGTCACCATCGCTTTCTGCAACACTTCTAAAGTCCTCTAAAACATCGTTTACCCAGTAAACAAGTGTCGACAGCTCTTTTTGACTCCAGCTAACTCTCATGAGTGTTTCTTCTATGAACTAAACGATGTGTTCGACCAGTTCGATCAGCTCTGAGCAGCAGTATTCCCGGCAATACGTGAGGAACACTCTTGCTGCTTCTACCGCATCCTCTATGCGCGAAGCAGGAGTAGCTGCAGCGAACTCTGCCGTCGCCGACAGGTTGCCAAAATTTGATCCTCCACTTTCTAGCCACGACATCCTCTCGTCCTCTGTCAGTCGGGCGAAGTGACGAATTGACAGCCCACCAGAATTAAATTGAATATCATATGCCCGAGTGCAGACACCCGGTAGCGCCTTAAACTTCACAAATTCGGACCGAACCATACCTTTGACAAATATAGTAGCAGGCTTACCTTTATGCTTTTCTGATGTCACTCGCTCATGTACCTCCTGTTGATCATCTCGTGGAGCAAATGCGTACTTTGATGCTACGGTCACTCTTTTCCGCGGAGGCGGCTGCCCAATCATCTTAGAACTCGTGCTCACTTGAGTCCTCGGAACCGTTTGAGACTGTCTGTTGGCTTGTCTAATAGCTAGAAACCGCTCCAGTAGCTCGGGGTCATCGCTGAGTTTCTCGACAATGAGTGCATCTTGGTCTACCGCTGTGCGACGTCGCTTTGCCTCATGAACACCATCATCCGACGAGCTAACCGGCTGTCGGGAACGCTTTGGTCGTTCTGGCCGCGTAGTGACTTGAACCGTACCCTCACGAATCGGCTCCGATTGGTCTTGGGGAGTATCATCGTCGTCGATAAAAGGATCGAAAAGTTCACTTCCTTCTCTTTCCTCACCATCACCACCACCAATCGGTGATTGTGACTGTGGCGGGCAGCAAAACGCCTGCCCCACAGTTGGTGGCACCGGTTTCACTCCTCCATCGACATAATACGCAAAGTCAAGGGCGTGTTGCAGCGAAAACTCGGTCTGTTGACCCGTTGAAGGGTCGGTCCACTTACAGACCTTCGTTGCACTGGGATAGTTAGCTTCTGCGATTAAGCCTTCTAATATATCCGGTATCTGGTTAGAGCCCACGATATCTTGTCCGAGTACTCGGTCTAGAACAGTATTTTCGACAGCCTCGATTTCGCGCGCGCTCCATTCATCACTGTCAAATTGAATATGTTCCAATAGAAGGGCTACAATCGGTGCTACGACCGACACTGCCTTCCATTCAGCGGTGAGCTGCTGTCCGTCGGATAGAATCGACAGCTGATCGCCTTCGGCTTCTACCACTTGACCGTAGTAAACATGATCAGAGCCCTTTACAGCAGCTGCACGTCGCATGAGTGAATGATTTCTTGCTCTGTTCACCTCGCTGGCCGACACCACGTGGGTTTCCGCAACTACCCGGCTTACACTTCCTTCTTCCCCCCCTTCGAGACTATATGAAACGTTACTGTATCTGCCTCGACTCGAACGACCTTCGCGTAGAATGGTGCGTCAAAACCTGTTTCAATGGTTTTAGGCATCAAATGCAGGTAGGATCGAGCTGCAAGGCGAACCATTTTCCGGAGTGCTGGAGGCTGAAGGGCGGAAGCAAGAGGGCTTAAGCGCGATTAGGAAATTCTGAAACTAACTACGGCCGCTCGCTCCTGTGCTCTCCTGCGTTGGTTTCATCTTTTGCTACCTCAACTCAAAAGCTATTTTCACCCGTTGCTTGAAAATTCCCATTTTAGCTTTATAAAGTGATAATCGCGAGTACGATCAAAGGATGGAGTGTATTAAAAGAAAAATATCTACAACCTTACCACATACAGAACTGTTTCGGCATGGCTGCTTTGTTGGGTCGACACTTCTGTATTCAGCTATAGCTCATGCCGCTGGTCTTGTACACTCCGGTGGTCGTGCTTATGCTCCTGCTTATGCTCCTCCTGATGCTGTCACCAAGACGGTTTATTCGTTGCTCTCTTACTCATAACTGAGTGTTTTGTTTTCGTTTTTGGTCATTGGTTTGGCGTGTTGGTCCGGTTGCTGAAGCATCTCGTGTGTTAGCAGTCTACCTGCTAGTGTCTTTGTTTTTCGTTTTCTACTCTGCTTGCGCTGACGAGCAGGTAGCCGCAAGATGTCGTGCTGCACGGTTTCCTTGTATCTTAATCAGGAAGCTATTTTAAGGCTGGCAGGAACGCCGTTGTGTTGGAAGTTGTGGAGTTTCTTGTGTTGTTTTCTACGAGATTCAACAGGAAAATCCCACAACTGCGAAAGTCAGAAAAATATTTTACTCGAAGTTGCAACTTGTCCATGCTAATGTAGTTATTTAGTAAAGCTTTTTTCTTGCTGATAGTATCAACTCCGTTCGCACGAGCCCCCCGTCGATGAGATCGTGAAGTTTCGGACCGAAATGCAATTTTGCTCGCCAATGTCGCCTCCTTCTCGAATTGACTTTACAATTTCTCCTTGCTGCTATAAGCCTTGGGGCGCTTCAAGATTGGAAGCGGTTGGAAGCGAGATCGAAACCGAGAGGTATAAATGGAATCGTCTGCCTTTTTAATTATAGCGAATTCACTGCATCTTTAACTGCTATTGGTCGGTCTTAATCTAATCTGAATGACTTAAACTGGCAGTTTACCTTAGATAAAAATTCTCCATCAATATCGATCAAGCAAAGGTGTGTCGAGTCAGTCAATTTTTATTATTTGACTGTGCGGTTTTCACACAAGTTGCAAAACACGCTTCAAAATAGCAAAAATGTGCTAACGCTCGCATTTTTGCACTTTATAGGGAGGCTCACACACAAAAAAACTCACACACAAAAAAGAGATTTGTCAAACCGGACACAATTTACGGCCTATTACAAAAAAACTATATAAATAAAACATGTGTCATTTTAGCAAACTATAAATTTGTAAGGGCTGAGTTTCTATTGGCGATTAAAAGAACACTAGGGATCGAAAGCTCAAAGTAGATGCATGAAGATGTACACAATAGTATTATACGTAACGTGTTGCACTCCGTATAAATGTGTCCAGGAGTGCAGTACCGTACTGTAACGGTGGCTGTCCACCAATTAATAAATGGTACCGGTACCACGGGATGATGTCTGGATGGTGTGGAAAAACTGGCATGAACATTGGTCAATCAAAACAAGGCTCTTGCACGCTTTTATATTTTTGATCCGGCAATGCCGGGATTGCGCGTAATTTTACGTAACTAACTCTTACGTTGCGAGAAGCAGGGCTTAGTAGACAAATTCTCGCTATCTGACTGGAGTGGGAACAACAAACAATTAATGTGCCCAACGTTGCGCTGAAGGATACCTATCCTCTTAAGCTTACATTTTAACATTTGAGCCCGCACTTCTTCACCACCACGAGCGTCGGTTTGTAACCCGTTTGTTTACAAACGCTTTTCCTGCGGGGATTGGGGGGGGGGTACAGTACTCCTTACTAATATCCAGTGTACATGTACTGGATCAAATACATCATCATAAAACGGCAAAAAACTCTTTCATTTAATGAAATCGTTAGATAAAGAGCAGGTCATATTTGAATACATACGATTGTAATACTAAAAAATGAACGTGATACTATTAGTATCGCGGTCATTTGCTTTTATCCGGCCACAACAACAGATTGTCAGACACACAATCTGGAAAACGAGCAACACACAACACGTCTCACTAGCGAGTTACACCGACTCATGCGCTCATACTTTGTAGTAATTCTCGCTGTTGCTGTCCTGATCAGCAGAGGCACTGCTGTCACAGTCGATCCGCAGAAATCTCAAAACCTCGTTCAATCGATCGATGCTGCCGGCATGGAGACGAGAAGCAGAAAGCTGCTGAGAGCACAAACAACGAACAATCACGCCAGTGGCCCCGTTGACGAAGAGAGAGCCGTGGTCCCTGACGTGTTAAAAAAACTTGGTTCAGGCGTGTCAAAGTGGGCTGGCAACAAGACACTATCGGCAAAGCTGATGTGGTACGCAGCACAGGTGGACTTGGACAGGAGAGTGCAGAAACTCTTGAAACAAGGTTACGATCCTAATTCAGTATACAAACGTCTCCATCTCGACAGCCGGAGTGTCGGTGCGGACCCCCCCCCCCCCGAGTTCAATCTGTGGTTTAAGTTTGCCGCAGCCTACAAGGATAAAAACCCCAATTGGGTGAGCAAGTTTGATGGTGTTGTGTGAGAGCTGGCCAGCAGGCAGCGTCTCCCGTGGAATATTCACAAAACGTATAACGGAAAAGAAACCAGAGATAGTCTTTGCTTGTGTCCAGGCGTCAATCGGTAGCGCCTTCATTCGTCCTCTCAATTACTGAGGTAACGTCGTCGAATATAGACAAACTTCAGTAAATTGCATTTGTAGTCATAACCAGTTCAGCGGGATGCCCATGCCAATTTGTGTATCCGCCTGGTCCAGTACTTTCGCTGGTTTGCTCGCCTCAACTAGAATATCGACGTAGCCGTTTCAGCACTTGCCGCTCTCCTGTCGCTACCACATTCATTACTGTACTATTCAACGGCGTGCACTGTAAACTTTACAGCCTCCACATGACCACTCAGCTTCGCTTAAGCTCACGATCGCAGTGACTTGATGCCGCTCTACATCGCGCAAAGCCAAATACCTTCTCGACTTCGATATGAACGTAAGCAGAAGCTTCAACCAAAGCTCATAAATTGCACTCTTCCCTTCAATGCTCGAGCAGAAAACTCCGTACATCGGTATGTCCCACACACACATCTGCTGTAGTGCACAAAGAATCCAGTGACTTATCTGTCCCAGCCCCCGTTGAATGCTGCTAGTCGTAGAGCCCTTGCAACTTCACGGTCGAGTCGTGTAATTGTAATCAGGCCTTCCGATAATACAACTGCAATGAGATTCTCGATTTTTATTGAAATCAGTAATTGCAGGGAAATACTCGATATTTAAAAAAATATTTAATTGTCTCAATAAGAGCAATATCACGCCACTACTTCCAAGATGCATTGCTTGCTGGTGAAGGGGTTGTAAAAAAATATGTTGAATTGGATAATGGGGAGAGCTAAGCTGGATGCACTCCCAAGGACTTGCCAGCCAACCAAGAAGTGGTTGGTCCCCAGTTTTGCTTTGCTGGGATTGAGTTGTTTTGTGAATTTGGGTTACAGATAATTTATGACGATACCAAAAAATATCTTACTGAAAGTGTTAATCATAACAATCCACCACACATGGGTTCGAATCCCACACCTGCTATTAGTACGCTGCTGGTTGAGGAGGAAGGGGGGTCCTTATGACCCTAGCTAGGTTCCATCGCCATCTAATTGAGCCGGCAACAGCACAAGGGGACAATCAGGTTAACCACGTTACTCGGAGTAAACTCGTCTACTATCGACTATTTACTGGTATTTTTTTTGTGCATTCGCAGCAAGTCAGAATGAATCCGAAGAGTCACACAGATTAGGACTACTTCGTGCCTTGTTCCTTTAATCCGACGGATCACAAATGTTGGGACTATTTTTGTGGTGCATTCCAAATCTTCTTTATGATATACGTACTTGTAGTGGGCTATGCTTAACATCGATAATATACGCGCACACTCATGACCGCTGCAGCTGATAAAATAAAAGAAATCGTGGTGAGCTACACCGCTACCATTTGTGCGCAACGTTGTCTCCGTACGCGAGCGTCATAGCTTGTAGGATATAATCAGCGCGCGAGTGAGGGAAGTATATAGTTTGTTACTGCGCACTTGAACGTGTGCTCTGTGTGACGCGCTGTTAGTGAGCACACCTCGTTAAATACATTGCCATACGGCTCCAGTCGAAGTCATATAAATTCATACGTCTGTCGAGGAGTCTAGTTTTTCAAGGCATACAAATCGTTTGTCCAACTCAGGCAGTAATATCATTATTTTGACATTTTTCAATCGAATTTTTTATTATTGGAGTCGAGCATTTTGAAATGATAATTACGTTAAAGAACGTTTTGCAATCTATTTTTTAAATTTTTTCTTTGATCACATTGCTTCACAACTGCAAGTAAACGGGCTTCACAACAGCGATGGGCTCGATGCAGACGCGACCGCAGGCGATTGACCAAGAGCCGTTGGTGACATGCGATCAAGTAAAGACTGAGACTATTCAGTCCGTACTCGACGGACGAGTAGACGAAGCCCGTGAGCGTGCCAGATCAACTCTATTTGCGAATTGAAATACCCAGTCTCGAGCGCACCCAAGCGGATTCTTTATTTCGCGCGACGGTTTCTTCCTCACGTCAGGTCATCTGAAAGGAAAAGAGTGCAAGATTACTGGGCTGTTCGGCATCACCTTTGGGTACGAGCACGTCGTCGATATTCCGTATCTCAATTTATCGCTGATGAAGGTGGAAGGGGTGAGTGACGCGCCACTATTGAGACCGATTCCAAATATCAGCAACTGTATGCCGTCGGAGGACGACGTGGAGCAGCAATCGATGTGGTCGATACGTTTTCCCTTATGCGCATTTACTCGAACCCCTGCGAGCTATCCGGTTGGTTCGGCAGCACTGAATTCGTCCATGCAACTTTACTTGGAGAAATTGGAGGGCCCATTCTGAGTGTGAATTGCGGTTATTTCTTTGGTGTTCTCCTCCAAAGCAGTGAGAAGGGGTCCGATGTGTGCTTTTTATCTGCCTGCTCGCTTTTGTCGCTGGAGATAGAGCGAGAATGCATTGCCACCGGGATGCTAGTCACGTTTTATCCACTTGCACGAAAATGCTTACAAAAGTGTCTTAATTAAAATGAATGGCGCAATAAATCAGTCATCATTAAGAAATACAACATCGTGAAGCGGTGAGTTAGACAGTAGACTGAACTCGGCTGCTAAGCTGAAAGCTGTCACTTGCTCTTCTGCGCACTCGTGCTCTCACCACTTACAGCCCAAGTTTCATGTTCGGAGGTATTCTCGAGGCCGTGAACAACGTGCTGGTCCAGGTGATAACGCTGGCGACGAATCTCAAGGACCTGCCCATGGACGTCCAAGAGCTGTCTCGCAAAATAGAGGTCCAGAACCAGCAGCTCGCGGTACTACTGAACTCTCCGTCCACGCTCATCGACGACCAAGTTCGCCGTGCAAGTGACCGAGCTACGTCAGCACTACTGCGCATCCAAGCACCGAGTGGCCACAGCCATGGGACGGGCTTTTTCATTTCTTCCGATGGCTTCCTACTGACGGCTTGCCACGTTAGCCGAGGGATAAATGGTGATGAGAGTGGTGACTGTGCGGCCAAGATACTGTTTGGACACAACGTGCAGTGCAAGCTTGTCCTCGATTTTCCGGAAGTCGACATTTCCATCCGGAAGGTGGACGGGTGTGAATCTCTACCTTTTTTGTCCCCAGCCTCCGATCTCACGATAGGTGACGAGGTCATCATCAGTGGCTTCAGTCTGGAAAACCCGGGCATGCTGTACTGGCCAAACATTACTGGTGGAAGGATCAGTACTCGTGTAGTGACTCCTGAAGCGACAAATGCCATTCATCAACTAGCCGATGTCAATATGAACAAAGGGGTATCAGGAGGGCCCGTGATCAACTTGGCCTCCCAACGCTTCGTTGGCGTTGCGTTCACTCGGACCGTAGTCGATCTCCTTGATCACGGGCAAGCTGCCTTCACTTTGGTGACGTCACAATCACCTATGTGGGTGGCCATTCAAGAAGCGGTGGGAAAGTATCGCGATATTCATCGTGCCGACAACGGGGCAGACGAGTAGTCTCACGGAAGGTGGTCCCTCTTTTGTCAATGCCATCGAGCTATGGAGCGCACCTAATTAATCTGAGTTTAACAAGACGTTTGAGCTAAGTTACTTTCAATACGGTCCTGTATTAGAACTGATGGGGCTTTGTTGACTAACCGGCAACAGATCACTTATTATCACTCATCTTGCTGTTCGTTGCTTCACAACTGCAAGTGAACGGGCTTCACAACAGCGATGGGCTCGATGCAGACGCGACCGCAGGCGATTGACCAAGAGCCGTTGGTGACATGCGATCAAGCAAAGACTGAGACTATTCAGTCCGTTCTCGACGGACGAGTCGACGAAGCCCGTGAGCGTGCCAAACCAACTCTATTGCGAATTGAAATACCCAGTCTCGAGCGTATCCAAGCGGGATTCTTTATATCGCGCGACGGTTTCTTCCTCACGTCAGGTCATCTGAAAGGAAAAGAGTGCAAGATTACTGGGCTGTTCGGCATCACCTTTGGGTACGAGCACGTCGTCGATATTCCGTATCTCAATTTATCGCTGATGAAGGTGGAAGGGGTGAGTGACGCGCCACTATTGAGACCGATTCCAAATATCGGTAACTGTATGCCGTCGGAGGACGACGTGGAGCAGCAATCGATGTGGTCGATACGTTTGCCCGTATGCGCATTTACTCGAACCCCTGCGAGCTATCCGGTTGGTTCGTCAGCATTGAATATGTCCATGCAACTTTACTTGGCGGGGAATGGAGAAACTGGAGGGCCCATTCTGAGTGTGAATTGCGGTTATTTCTTTGGTGTTCTCCTCCAAAGCAATGAGAAGGGGTCCGATGTGTGCTGTTTATCTGCCAGCTCGCTTTTGTGGCTGGAGATAGAGCGAGAAATGCAGCGCCACAGGAATGCTCGCACTCGTGTTCTAAAAACCTACAGCTCAAGTAGCATGTTCAAAGGCATTTTCGAGACCGTGAACAAGGTGTTGGGCCAGGTGACAACGCTGGCTACGAATCTTAGGGACCTGCCCACGATTGTCGAAGAGCTGTCTCGCAATATCGAGATCCGCGACCGGCAGCTTGAGGCACTACTGAGTTCTCCGTTCAAGTTCACGGATGACCAAATTCGTCGTGCAAGTGACCGAGCTGTGCCAGCATAGCTGCGCATCCAGACGAGACCGGGTGACCACAACCAGGGAACCTAAGGTGCAAACCTTTACTGACAAATGTTATCTGGATTTTTATTTCGAGTTATTCTGATCCAAAACTATTTTAATTGCATATAATCAGATCCCAAATTCAGGTTTTCAACTCGGATGGGACCTTTTCAACATGGTATTAGCTTAAAAAATGATTGACTGCAGGGATTAGCGTGAAAGATAGACGATACGCCATCAGCTTGAAAAGGATATAAGGAGGTAGTGGGTGTAGCTAACGAGCGTTTGCCGCCCAGTCATCCACAAAGTTTGGGAAGACATTCCT